GAAAGAGCTGCATGCAGATGCCCCAACAAAGAGCATGCACTCCTGTCAAGGGCACACACATGGGATGGACATTCCCACAGGGCCAGGAGGAGGGGGACCTGCGTAGCCGGTTTCACTGAGCATTACCTGCAGTACAGTGGGGTGCTCCCTGCATCCACTCATCTCACAGTGAAGGATTTGGTCCCTGGAGGTGGCTTCAGCTGACCTGCTTTACGTCTCATAGAAGTAAACCCTCTACTTAGAGTGGTAACTGCTTCAGCTAGGTGAGAAGGGTTCTCCCATAGCTGTGAACCACTTCTTTCTGATACCAACCCAAAGGGGAAAAGTCTAATTTTAGGACACATGCTAGACCTTAGCTTTCCTAACTCAACAGCATGCTCCCTAAATAACCTTGAAGTGCAAGTAGCTATGACTAACACATTGGCTTTGTTGCAAGAGCAGCAGGTGTAGGTGAAAAAAGTGACCTGACCCAGCATCCTGTAGCCCAGTGCTCCTGTCCTCACCCAGTACGGCCAATATCCAGTAACTCACCTGCCTCCTAGAAAGCAAGAAACTGGACCATAGTAACCATTTGGTCTGTCCAGAAATTTCCACCTGAGGAACTCAGAACATTTTGCATGTTTCAATGAACTTTGGGTGATGAGGCCTTCAGGAAGACATGGGCTGTTGTTACCAGCTTTCCAGAGTGACCCTGATGTGCAGAGGGAATCAAAACAATGACAAAGTTGGCAGGCGAAACAACAGCAACAGCATCTGGACAGGAACAGCTTCTTCTGAATCTCTTCTCAGATGTGAACAAGGAAGCTACAAAAACTCCCTTTTCTTTAGCCTTTTAACATGCTCAGGAAATGGGGAGGGATCTGAAGACACAGCTTTTTCTTACTGCACCCCTTCTCAAACCAAAAACATGATATAGAAAATCCACAAGTCAATAATCCAGTAACCTAAAGTCCACCCAAATCCCTCTGCTCAGAAACCACTGTGAAGTGAATCAGAGAGCCTAAATGAGTCATTGAGAGGGAAATGGCGTACAGCCAGTCTGTAAGAAGTACCAGGGACATGACTTGAGACAAACATGAATGAAATGGACCGATCCTTCTATTGATCACCCTCTCCAATCAAAAGGACCTTGAAGAGGAAATGTCTAGTTATGTGTCTGCACCTTTCACAAAGGGGACTCCTCAGAGTGATAGATTTTCAAACACAATGGGGTAAACCTGTCGAAGTGTTGTGATTATTCTCTCTTGTGCTCTCTTTCTTTCTCTCCCTCATTCCTTTCACTCTGTTCTCTCATGCACTTTTAGGGTAATTGAATGAGATAATTCTTCCTCTGAAATGCAGTGGCATTCACTTACCTCTCTGGAGCTGTCAGCTCCACATACAGAGTGCAGAAGGAGAGAGGAGGGATTTCATGCATTTAATAAAAGTATTCATACACATCCTAAAAAATGCAACCCAAAAAACCCTCAGTCCAAACCAAGCAACAATACTTAAAGAGCCTACAGAAAGCAACAGTAATAGACCTAGGCTTGACATCCAGTCATTTGAAACTGGGAGGTGGCTAAGAAAGGAGGAAGAACACAGATGGATAAAAACACACAGACGTTATTACAGGGCATCACATAAAGAACATACCAACATGGTGCAAATTAACATGGTGCAGAGGATCTTGAGTAAGCACTGATCAACCTTGCTCCAAAAGCATAAATCAAAAATTTCCTCATCAGTCTATATTGTTGCACCAGAATTAGACAGACCTGCCAAAACTTCGGAACTATGGTTTACAGGAAAAGCACTGCATGGACATGGCTGTACTGCTCCCAGGACATGGGCTAACATCTCTTCACAGCACAAAGACTTGACACATAGGGGCAGCTTCACGACTGAAGGAGTCCCTATGCTGCAGCCTGTCATAAGGGGCAGGTCATGCACAGGAACATAAAGGTCTCCACGTGTGGTAAAGTCCCATAGAACTTCCTTTCCTCTCCTAAAATAAACCACATCCCTGAGAGCACTGCGCTGAGGTCAGACCTCAGAAAGCAAAAAAACATATTTTTGAGCAGTATCAGAACAACCAGACACACACTATGTCAGATGCCAAATAAGCAAATAGCCCCAAATTACATGCAATTTCAAGAAGTGGTCTTTTCTGAACTGCAAGTGATTGAATGAGAAGTCCTGAAAAACAACATGACCTTCACAGAAACTGAGTGCTGGAGAACAGCACAAGGCTAGGGCTGAGATTAAATCAGTGGGCTGAGGTGACATCTTATCTTAGACTCAGCCATGCAAAATTAATTTAAATATATAAACTCTGTTTGCAAACATTTGAGTTTTCCCCTCTTGTGGCTACACCTGCATTGCTGGCATTACAATGAGAGTAAATTTAACCAGCTGCACATCCCTGTCAATCATGTTTGACTGATCTGATAACCTTCTATGATGGTGTGACTGAATGGGCAGATGCAGGGGGAGCAATGGATGTAGTCTACCTTGACCTTAGCAAGGCTTTTGACACTGTCTCCTATAACATTCACATGAGCAAGCTCAGGAAGTGTGGGAGAGAAGAGCGGACAGTGAGATGAATTGAGGGTGGTGATCAATAGCACAAAGTCCAGCTGGAGACCTGCAACTAGTAATGTTCCCCAGGGATCAGTGCTGGGTCCAGTCCTCGTCAACATCTTCATCAACCTGGATGAAGGGATGGAGTGTATCCTCAGCAAGTTTGCTAATGATACCAAACTGGGAGGATTGGCTGGTTCACCAGAAGGTTGTGCAGCCATTCAGTGAGATCTGGATAGACTGGAGAGATGGGCAAAGAGGAACCTAATGAGATTCAACAACAAAAAGTGTAGAGTCCTGCACCTGGGGAGGAATAACAACATGCACCAATACAGATTAGGAGTTGACTTGCTAGAAAGCAGCTCCGTGGAGAAGGAGCTTGGGGTCCTGGTGGGCAACAAGTTATCCATGGGACAGCAATGTGCCCTTGTGGCCAAGAAGACTAATGGTTTCTGGGGGTGCATTAAGAAGACTATGTCCAGCAAGGCAAGGGAGGCTCTCCTTCCCCTTTACTTTGCCCTAGTGAGACCACATCTGGAGTATTGTGTCCAGCTCTGGGCTCCTCAGTTCAAGAGAGACAAGGATTTACTTAAGAGAGTCCCATGGAGGGCTACAAGGATAATTAAGGGACTGGAATATCTAGCTTACAGGGAAAGGCTGAGAGACCTGGGCCTGTTTAGTCTAGAGAAGACTGAGTGGGGATCTTATTAATGTATATATATATATCTGAAGGGTGGGTGTCAAGAAGGAAGGGCCAATCTCTTTCCAGTTGTGCACTGTGATAGGATGAGGGGCAATGGATGCAAGTTAGAGCACAGGAAGTTCCACCTCAACATAAGGAAAAACTTCTTTACTGTGAGGGTTACAGAGAACAGGAGGAGGCTGCCCAGAGAGGTTGTGGAGTCTCCTTCTCTGGAGACTTTCAAGGCCTGTCTGTACACGTTTCTGTGTGACCTGCCCTAGGTGGTCCTGCTCTGTCAGAGGGCTTGGACTCTGATCTCCAGAGGTCCCTTCCGACCCCTAACTATGATTGTATGATCACTGCCCTTTCCTAGCTGGAATGAGTTTCCCACCTTTTTGGCACAGTCTGTGTGTCACTAGAAAATTAATAATCATCAAAGTAGTGGATGTGAGTCCTTTCAGAGCAAGATGAATGCTACCCTAGCTGCAACTGTGCAGCTCAGACAGCTAGGGAGCCAGCTTTCTGCAGCCCTCAATGGTCACAGATTTGCTGCCAGTACTTTCCAGTTTAGCTAGAAAAAAAAATGTTGAACAGTCAATCAATCTGCAAATAAACACAGCAGGCTGTTCCCAAGGATGGGTCAGAGCAAGGCAACTGTTAAATTTTTCAGAGAGCAACTTCTAACAAAAACGAGCTCAGCTTTAGCAGGCCCCAGGGCTTCGGCTTGCTTAGCAGACCTCATCTGCCTACAGTTCTTCCTGAAGCCTCCTGGTCTTTGGCTGTAACAACAGACACACAACCAGGATGCTTAAATCCCTGCGGATGAGTTACGACTATTGTAGTCATCAGGCAAATTATATCCAAACCAACTCCAACACAATTCCAGTGCAATTTTGCATTAGAGTTGCTCACTCTCACCTTTTCATTCCTAGGGATGGCTTTAGCATCAGCTTATATTCCTGCTTGTCTTTGCACGAGGGTACCCAGGTCCATACCATCCTGTTCTGCAGGTGACCATGGTGACATTAAACTTCATTGATTTAAAAAATATATAAATAATTCCTGTGCAGGTAAAAACGACTAATCCAAATGTTGCCTCCTTTCTCTACTGAAATGGAGTTTCTAAGCAACTCTGCTGGAGTCTCTGGGCATCTGCAGCATTTCAGGGATTGCCAGCCCAGCTGTTTTTGCTCTTATGTTCCTCCAGCCAGCCTTGTTCCCCACTGCCTGAAAACTCTGTACACTTAACTCCCTCTAGGTTTCGGCTATATCCAACCTGCTACTGCCACATGTGGAGGTGGTGACAGGTTGATGGAAAGTCAAAAGGGCTCACTGGAAAAAGTCATCAGCCAGAAACTGGCAGCAGATTTATGTCAGGAAATTCACATTTTC